ACAATTAAAGTATACGCATGTATAAAGTAAACACAACAATTTTCGGTATGTATGTAGTTGTTCTGATCCATTTCTCTAATAAACAGATTACAGACCACAGATGGACTGCCACTCTTTAGTAGTGTTAAGCAAACTTACTTGTGTGGCTGCTGGCATCTACATCCACGTATACATTTATGGGTCCATATGAAATATTACGTCCTGGATATGAGATTGTTTTCTATCCTCTGAACCTTTAAAACATAAACTCTAATCCAGATCCTCCTTCCCCAGATACTGCTTTGATCTCTTCCTGTGGGACCTGTTTATGCCATACAGGATTCTCTGATAAGCCTTAGAACCAGGCGGCAATTACACTACTAATTACACAAATACAAAACCTTGACCTTGCACTTGATTTACCTGCCTCTGTGCTTTGCCCCAGAATTCAACTTCTGTAGGCATCTTGCACACAAGCAAAGACAAGACAGTGATGCACAAACTTGTGTGCACAATTTAAAAACAATAAAGCTGGAATCCTCATACTGAATACACAGACAGTCAAGTTGCTGTGGAGTTGTGGGATGTGGCATCCCAGCAGCCGGTGTAGAGGTGTGATCTCACAAGGTGAGTGGATGCTGGAGGAGAAGGCTGCCTTGCGGTCAGCAGGGATGCTACGGGCCTCAGGGAAAAGCTCTTAACTTCTGTCAGGCACAAATAACCATGCCATTTTTCACATCCTGATTTTTAACTGAGAAAATCATTCCGGTCCCAAGTCATATGAACTCTACACACATGCCATGAGTCAATTGTAGCTCTGACAGGAAGGAGTTCAGTTGCAGATAGTACTGACATTATTTAACTGCATGAAATGCATAATTGTTATCAAGAATTAATGTCATCGCAGCTTTTGATGTGAGATAGGGAGAACAGATGATACACCATGAACATTCTCATTTTCTACATCTTTGCTAATATGACCCTGAAAAACAATTCATAGAAATTGTAGATTTAAATAGTGAATACATTCAACAGTATCAATACACTCATTATTTTTTAGTATGCATTCTTTACATAGAAATAATGTGTTAGCAACCAGAGGCTGAGTGTGGACACTGATTTACTGTGGTCAAGCTGCTGCTAGGTGGTGCTATTGGTAGCACTGTCTTTGATGGAGAGACTACACACTGAAGCAACACTGTAGATTCATCTGCATTTCCCAAAATCGTGTAAAGCCATATGGTAAGTAGCTCTTCTGCAGTTCAGTTTTTATATTCCAATGCATTATGTGTATATACTGTACATTATACAGTAACCCCCGTGTTGCTGAAATAGCAGCAATGGCTTTTCAGCTGCCTCCCAGGTCTACGCTCCTGAGGCGCTGAATCTTAAAGTGAAAATATATAAGAGCGGGTGCCCCCGTGCTCGAGTATGTTGCCATACATCACATCATTTAACACTTTGAACTGTCAGAAATGTGTCACTCTGTCTCTCTCTTGATACCTTCATCTGTCAGAGTGAAATCATAAATACAATAATTTCCCCAATGTTGGCTCTTTATTCTGTCAACCGTTTCAACCGACTGTGCCTCTTCATTTCCGACGCATGAATAAGTGAGAGGCCATTAATATGTCTCTTTCATTACACTCTGGCACTCTGCACTGCATGAGCACGCAAAGAACTGTGTGTTTGCCGGGCTTGGGTTCTGATGTCCGATTTGTAAGGCAACAAAGATATGTCACCATGTCCGTATGAAAAAAAAAGTGTCAATCTGAGAATTCACATTTGGTTCCTGCTGCTTAAATAGGCAACTAATGCAGTACAAGTAGTATATTTCAGGGAAAATTATTGAATTATTAAAAATGCATAGCCTACATGTAACCTTCTGTATGCTGCCCGATTGTGAGTTTAGTTTTAAACAAACATTTCCCCAAAGTAAACTGTACAAACACTGTGAATGCTGTGCTTGTGGCCAAACTGGTCAAACTGATTTTTTGTGTTTTGTTAAAAATCACCCTGTCGTTTGACAAACACATTTTTTCCTCTTTTCTATCTCCACTCCCAAGACAAGATTAGAGGGGAAACTCATCAGTCTCCTCCTGTTGTCTGATAAACTTTTTATTTGAAGGGTGTCCTGTCTGGTGTCTCTGGTGTCTTCCTCCAGTGCACTCCTGATTTGAAATATAGCCTTACATAATGAGGGAGAAAAATAGAGCGGTGTTGCACCCCTGAGCCGGTGTCAGCTTAATCAATCATTTTTAAACACAGGCAGGCATGCTTACTCTACTCGCTTCACATCCACCACATCCTTCCCCTGCTCAACAATGTGACAGCAGCATAATTCATTTTTACTCAAAAATTAAACAGGCAGCATCAAACTTGTCCTTGCATCCCTTTGGTTTAAACACAGCTGAGTGTGTTGGTGTGTGTGTGTGTGTGTGTGTGTGTGTGTGTGTGTGTGTTTATGTTGCTTTAATTTGTTTATGCATTTATACTGCATCTATATTTTGTAGGTGCAAAATAAAACATTCTTTCATATCCTTGCTTTATGAAATGCATGTGTAAGGATTATTAAGACGTACCTGTGTACAATGTAGGCTACATTTACAAGTGTGGGTGTGCATGCATAAGCAATATATTGTTCATACTAGTAATACAGATGTGTTGTGTGTGTTTGTGTATTCCAGAGGTAATAGCCCGAGTGTGTTTCTCTCAAGCTCAAGTTTCTCAGCCTCGATGCTGAACATGCAACAGGCGTGGAATGGTAGCATAGGGTTCACACAGTCAGATTGCAGTGGGTCAGGAGGTCAGGGAAATTTGGAGGAGCTGAAGCTGAGCAGAAGGAATGGAACTTGGCCTCTTCGCTTGGCAGTGAGAGATTCCTTCTGGCTTTCTGTCAAAAAGCCGGCCTTCAGTGCAGCACAGCTCCAAAAGTTATATCATGCTCTTGTTGGTGAGTTACACGCAACGAGTGCTGCAGTGGAAACATGAGAACAGATTTCTTTTGAAAAAGTCCCTCCCTGTGACTAGTCCAAATCTAAAATGTTGCCTGTTTTTTAATACTTTTTATAGAATTTAGTGCATTCAGTGTTTTTACATGGACTAACTTGCACATAGCTCATTGGCTTTATGCTTTTATGCTATCCGCTCTTGCACATGCTCATTGGATTTGAAATTAGTTGATTTAATTACCATACAGAAGCATTGTAACCCATGGTACTCTGCATAATTCACCTTGTTTCAATACCATGTCTGACACCATTTACCTTCATGTAAATTATGTCACTTCACTAATGAAGTGTTTATCCAAAACAAACATATAAAGCAAAGAAAGATTGACACCTTATACAAAAGCTACATAATTTATATTTTGTCACCCAACTAATTAGCAAATCTGACACTAAGCAGAGGAGACCAAATCTGACACAGAATCCAAATACAGGACAAGATGACATTTTTGAAATGAGAATACATACCGAAGCATCTGCTTAAAGTACATTACTTTCATTTCTGCCAATTACAGTATATTGTAGTGTGTACTACAGCTGTTGCATGTGGATGCAGTCAAATACAATGATGCTTATGTATATTGTTTTGGCCATGTTTAGTCCAAGACATAACCTTAACTTTCACAATTTTTGAGTCTTCATTTTCATATCAGTGATCCTTTCTTTCTTATGCTTAAGAAAGTCATACTGGTTTCAATCAAATGTAATCACCAAGGGGCTACATGTTATGTGAACAATGATCATTTTCATTAAGCGATCCCAATGTTTGAGAAAGACCATGTAAAGTCAGCCTTAAGAATATTAATATACAAATACTTTTAATTTTACATATATATATATATATATAATGTGTTTAAAGAGATAAACCTTTCCTCTGTTATTTAAATAACTAATTCTAAGTTCATTAGTTTCTTGCGTAGTGATTTCTTTTTATTAATGTCTTGTCTATCAGTATCTGGCTCTGTACTGAGAGGGCAGGACCATGTCAAAGTCCACGTGCACCGCTTTGAAGAGGCGGGGTTCCGCCTCGCAGCTTGCCCGCCGATCACATGCAGAAAGCATGGTGTTTGTAATTGCTGCGCAACAAGCAGCGCATGGATGCCGGTTGCCAGAGTGACGTTTGATGCCAGCTGTACACGGCACTGTATCTGAAAGCGTATCCTCTCCAAACAGCTGTCAATCATAACTTTTATGTGGAAAAGCGGAGACACACAGGTTAGGCTGTGAGTAAAAGGAAGAGTCCTTTCATCAGCTCGAGCAGAGTAGGCTACTGAGAAATGCAGTCCGCTCCTCCCACAGCACGGTGGAGATGATGATGATGATAACGGTGGTGATGATGATGAAAATAATGATAAGCGATTTGGCTATCCTTTTTTAAAAAATGTATAGACATGAAAATTGAGTTGTTATATGGTCTGGAGTAGCCTACAGACTGCTGCAGCCAGGGATGACACACAACTAATGATTTTGCAGTAAATCATTCTTGTAGGCTACCTCCGCATTTGATTGTTTCCAAATTTGCGCTTTTGACTACGAACTTGCAAACATATAGATGTGATTGTGTGTTGTGAATGGAATATAAGGATGTGGATGTTAATGGTTATTTAGCTATAGCCTAAGCGATTTGCAGATTGCGATTAAAGCAAAAATAACCATTGCTGCATTTCCCTTGCAAATTACATTTATTTTTTTTTAAATTCCAGTTGAATAGCCCAATTAAATGGTTTATGAGATGATGCAAATGCATGTCATTATGATGTATTTTGACCAGTTTTCAGTTTCAAATTTAACAGCAGCCAATAGATAGGGATATACAATTATTATTATCACACAACATGTAGGCTAAGTGAGATAATACAACTGAGGTTAGACTAATAAAATATTTCCATTCCCATGTAAAACTGCGCAGGGTTGACCAGCATGGATTACTTTTCAGGCCTACATCTATTCTTCTGCTATTGACAACCTCTCCCTTTTCAGTTTGCCTGACTAGAGCTCTCACTAGCGCTGCTAGTGGACAATCAAACCTACACACCCACCTCCAGACACACTCGCATTTCTCATTTCTTACTTCTAGTCTAAATTAGATAGCAAGACGTAGTGTCGGAGCTCACAGATCGCATAGAATTAGTTTTAAGTACTAGCAGTAGCTAAACAGTAAATCTGAAATTCAACATGGAGTCCCCTCCAGATCCAGCGAGCGACCCGGGCAACAGCGCCTCGGAGCCGGCTACCCCGGTCAGGGAAACCCCGGTAAACCTGGAGACGCTCCGGAAAGCGGACCATCCAGCCCCGGTTCGAAGGCAGACCTGTTCAAGCACCAACAGAGGTAAGCGTACCGTATTTCGCTTTTTACTGTATGAGAAATAAAGACCGATCGGGGGATTTACAAAAAAAATAATCAAACTTCATAAATGAATTAAATCGCTTCCCTCATAAATAACTGCTCACTCTCTAAATTCACCCAACCACAGGGGCATGGCTTTTTATTTATCACCGCGGCTTTTCTGTTCGGTTGTAATTAGTGCCTCGGTGTGTGTTGCTGGTGTTCAGGCTCCACTGACAGCTCAAATCATAGGGGGGTGATACGGTCACAGATGTCACATTTATTCAGACTGCAAGATAAATCAATTACCCAGCAACTTAAAATGGACCAACAGGAGCTTCTCTTCGTGCCAAAACGGGCCAACCTGTCCGCTCAAACGCGATATTGTCAAAGTGTCAAAAGTGAACTTTTGGAGACTGTGGGCCAGTTTATCGATCAGTCCCATTCTCCTTTGTACAGGGGACGTGTCCTCCACTATTCCTGATACAGCACACAGCGCCGTCTGGATGGATTTTTACATCTCCAGCTAACACATTTAGGCTATTCCTGTGTGCAAAAAGACGCCCCAGCAGCTGGAAATTGTTCAACGCCAGCTCTCACACACTGTTGCAAGCATGAAAGGCGCTGCACGCCTTTTGCGACTAAAACCTCCACATGATCAGACAATGAAAAAGTAAACAGGCCTGTATTGTCTGTTAGCTCGTCAAAAGTCTGTGTGCGTTGCTACAGAGGACTAGTTCATTTTACGTGATTTATCCACCACGTCCCGTCCATGTTGTACAGTACAGACAGTATTTAACCACACCCCCTCTCGGCTGTCTCTTGTGCAGGCTAACCGGGCTCATCCAAGTTCAAAGATAGAGTGATTTCTCTGCTGATTCTTGACAAGCAGAGTTGGTGTGTACATGACAGTGAGGCGAACGGTGTATTTGTGACAATTAATTCATTGCACGGTGTTTTTGTGTGCGTGTGTGTGCGCACTATTCCTGTGCGCAAGGGTATATTTAGAGTGTGATATGGTGAATGTGGAATGTAAGCTGGTTATGTAACAGGTTTAGCCATAAACAGCGGCGCGCAACTGGGAGCAGAAATTATCATCGTAGATCTTTTCACTTTTTACACGAGCTGCACCCACTCGCCATGATCACAACGGTTGTTTAATTACAAAAATCAAGGCACTTTAGCGGGTATTTATATGCTCCCGAAGGGAAACTGTGTGACTTTGTCGGTTGGCACAGCCGGAACACTTATGTAATAGTGGGGCGAAGACAGGTAGTTGGGAGGCTTCGTGGATTGATTTATTTTTTTGCAAGTCTGACTTTGAGACACTCCTAACCTGCTGACCCATATTCACCCCACCCTTTTATGCACAGGATTAAAGTGCGTCTGGGAAAGAGAAAGACAGGAAAAAGAACGGTTTGGTCTGTTATGTAATGCTGAATGGGTGAAAAAAAAAACACATGTTCAGTGGGACAACCTCTGCAGCTTTGAAGGAGTTTCCCTGCACTGAAACTTAGTTTTGACCCTTTTGCAAAGAAAAAAACCTGATTGTTAGAGATCATTAGCAGCAGACAGCTTAAAGAAAAGTTTTGAGAACTTTCTATAACTTATTGTAAGTCACTAATTGTCTGAAATGGGTTAAATTCCTAAATTATTTCAGACTCTGCTTCGTAGTTCAAATCTTAGTGTGTATTAGCCCATCATTTGGTATATTCCCTCATACAGACAGAGCCTGTTCAATTTTCAGAAGACTGTGGTAACAACAGGCAATTCCCTTTTTATCTTATCATTCAGAATCATGAAGTTGCCATCTGTAGCTTTGATGTACAGTTACATACAGTAACGGCAATCTATTGTGGTCTGCCCTCTAACCTGTACTTTTTACAAAGCATTATAACATTGCAACATATTTGTTTTCAAATTAAATGGGTTCACGAAACAGATTATTCATAAATGTTCAAATATTCAGAACATTCACCATACAGGAGAATAGAAAAAAAGTGTGCTTTCATAAAGAAATTATGCCTTAATTACTTTATTTAGTAAAGCATTGATGTAAAAATACTAAAGTCTATTAAGACGCAACTGCAGTTGGTTCATTGCACTGGCACTGTTTAGTGCGGGATTACTAAAAAATAAAAAAACAATAAATTATGTTTATGACTCATGGTGGTGTTACGGACATTTTTTAGGATTACTGTTCTTTGCTCAGACTTGGGCTTTTCAGGCCAGCCACAGAAACCAACATCTGAAAGGCGGCAGACACTTGCTCAAGCACAGTTTCCCTCTTTACACCAGCTGTATTAGACTTTCTGAGGATGCACATTTCTTATCCTGCATGCAGAGCGTTTACTGTTTTAACCCTGAGTGCTAATACCTTTTAAGTAGAAAGGGCTTACTTCAGCAGAAGCTCTGCTGTAAGACTTGAGTGGGTCAGAGAACAGGCCTTGGAGGGCTGAAGATATCATTACTGGAAAGAAGAAAGGGTGTTATTTTCATATTGCAAGATCCCTCAGTTCGCAAATTTGGAAACAATCAATATTAATGGCTTGGTTATGTAAGGTCATGGTCTCTGCAGGGGCTTGAAACCTCACAATTGCATAGAGACGTTTTGTAGCCGCAGATCTGATAAGAGCTCTTGTGTCCTGGATCCTCTGTTAACATAAGCTAGTTTGAGTGTCAAAAGTACATCTACAGTACATGTGCGTGTTGTGTTACTGTAATAGAAGACTGCACTAAATGCCTACTACGCTTGTCTTCTTATGCTGTACAATTGTTGTTATTGTTATTTTCAGTGACAACGAGTCTTCTGAACATAATTTTCCTTCGTTAGGGAGAAAGAGGTGGATGACTCATTAAAGACAAAAAAAACATTATGCTGCTTTTAATGTTGTGAAAGTTGTCACCAGGTGACATGCAGTGTGGTCTCCTACAGTGTCTTGCTTATTAGCTTGCCTGAGTGTCATATCTAGATTTAATCTTCTTTTGAGCTTTTCAAACAAAATACCAGTTTTCAACTTGTTATGTCACATTTGTAGTTGTTATGGCCAGTCACATGCTTGTGTTACCATTTTCTTAAGTGAAAAAAAAATCAGCTGTTTTAAATGTTGGTTTCATTGTGGGAAACAAATCTTACCTGACACTGCAGTTTTAGTTGCTGATCCCATCTAAAAAGGTAGGGTGTGAATATATTCAGTCTTCTCTTAATGAACACATACCCAGACTTTTATCCAGCAGTTTTATTTTTGGGCAGCGCAATGAGAGCTCTCGGCTAGGGTGGCAGCATTTATTTAGTTGTTGACACAAGACGGATCTGGGACCCAGGCTTTTAAAAAAAAGTTTTGCACAAAATCTCGAAAAGCCGGCAGTTGGCATGGGGCTCGCACACCACTCGAATGGACGGCAACATTACTGAGGTTGTGGCATTCTCAAATTCAAGGAATTAGGGCTCTCTGCCCGCTGGAGAGCATGAAGATACAGGTATAGGCTTATAGCTGAGCCCTCAGCTCGGACAGATCCTGGAGAGGAACTCCATTAGGTGTCTCTTTTTTCTGGCTGGCTGCCTGTAACATAATATCGAGTTTCAGCCCTGCTGCCTTTTCAATTCTTAAGTGTGGGTGAGGTGATGATATCATGAACTTTTTCATCGGTATGTGTCAGACATTTAACAATCAGCCGATTTGAATTCACAGCTGAGTATTTGATTTATTGTTGGAAACAGCTAGTTTAACTGAAAAAGAAGAACAGAATTATTTTAACTGTACACTGAGCTATTGCATAGACGTGGCATCTGCTCTTAGTTTAGACTTTGGCACCCCTACCTTTGGAAAAAAAAGGCCTTCTGTTGTTATGAGCTTCAAAGGTCAAATTACATTTGAGCAGCAGCATGTTTAGCCTATGTAAGGAGGATGTACCTGTGAATTAGGCTTGAGCAGTATTACCTTCCTGACATTTCACCGGGGTATATGGTATACAACAAAAACACACACAAAAAACGACATACCAGCTGCATGTGTGACATTGTCTAGCCTACAATGCTGTGTGTCTCATATGCAATTAGCCTACTGGTGCACACTATAAGATTTTCCAATCTTAACCGATTTTAAAAACGTGGGATTTCACAGACACAGCCAACAGATTTTTACCGTTTAATATTTTAACCGTAAGAACGTACACAACAGACAATTTGGTCAAGATACATGATAACACACTTGCCGTTTTACTAAATGATTTCAGAGTTGCGATTCCAAGCACTTGAGATCTCACAGAAACTTGTGTGATCAAACGTGACTTCAAAAATGAATAAACATAAAGTAAGACTGTCGTCGTCAGCTATTTGCACGTTTGATTGCTATGTTTTGCACAGAAAAACAAAAAAATGAGAATAAATCAATGGCTGAGTTGACAGAATCAGCATGGTTTACACATTTTAGCATGAACTTACGCCTGGGACGCTTCCCGGTCAGCTCACTCTCATTTGCTGTTGCGGGTTTCTACTCAACATTTCATTGTTGTTACTTTCACAGAACAGGAAATAATCAGGGAGCCTCCAATCCAGTTGGTAACTTTAAGATTAATGTCTGTAAACACTTTACACTACAGGATATTTGGGGCAGATAATCTGTTCATCCCTGTGACTGTTGGGAGTGGCGAATCAGACACAAAAGTGGCCCAATTATGTATAAATAGGAAATAAGCACCCTTCTTCCATAGATTCTGGCTGGAGGAGGTTGCAACGGTGGAGACCACACATCTGTGGGCTGAACGGAGAAGATGTGCACACATCTAGCCAGTTGGCTGGCTCATCTTTATCATCAAGACTAAATCCAGAATACTCCCAGAGAACGGCAGAGACATTTAAATTTTTTTACTAACCCTGTAACATTATCCCCACCATTTGCAGTCACTGACCAGTAGCTCCTTTTTGTGTGTGTAGTGAGTGTGTGATTGAGCGAGAGAGTGCGAGTGACAAAGAGTGACGGTGAATGCAGCGGAGCAGATGA